AGGGTAAAATAATACAGATCTACCTACATAATTACAATTAGTTAAAAAATAATTAATTAACAAAATTGTCAAATTTAATTTAATTTTAAGTTTTAAAACAACTTATTTGTTTTTAGTCTATACTGTTTTTAACTTATATTATGCTAGGTAAAACAATATTGGTTTACACCTAAAAGCATGTGGAATATTTAAAAGATTAATGTTAAATTAAATTTAATAATTTTATTAATTAATTATTTTATGACCAATTTTATTTCAGTCATAGATATTAATCGCTTTTTTTCTTTGCTCTCCTTTTTAAACAATATCTTTAATTTGATTTCTTTAAATAATTTTCAATATCTTTAAACAATATCTTCAATTTAATTTAACAATATCATTCTGCAAAGTAAAATAATCAATTGAATAATCAATTTCCTAATCAATTTAAGTATTCATTAATTAATTATCATTAATGTTATATCGTATTTTTAGCATTTCATTTCCCTGAAATATTGTCATAAGATAATAATTTTGTTTTCAATCTTTTATAATCGATCATTGAATGATATAATCTTAGGAAAGTAATCGTAATTTATTCATTCCATTTGTAGATTTGTATGACAATTGACAAATGATAAGATGAGCTCATTTGTTTATGTATGTATCAGATAATAACTAAAGGTATTTTTTTTTCCCATCCAATTCCAATTACGATCATATGGATGATAATTATGTTTAACATGATATGGTCATTTAACACAAATTATTGTCACTGTTCCATTCATGTGACATTTTTTTTTTTTTTTTCTTAAGTGATATATTGGCTGACCATTTCATCCATCTGTCCATTTATCTAACAATCTAGTTTTCAATTGTCAAAAATCTGGAATTGTTTCATTAGGATAAGCAATTGATGAATTGAAAACTTGCAAAATTCTTCATTTCATTCATTTCAATAAATTTTAAAAGATAAAAGTGAAATTAGGAAAAAAAGAGAGAGGGATACGTTTATAATTGAAAATTGTAATTTAAATTCATCCAAAATTTCATTTTAAAAAAGTTTTGAAAATTTAGAAGTAATTGAAGGATGAATTTCTTTTTTCTTTTTAGATTTAAGAATTATTTCAGTGAAGTTTGCTAAATTAATCGCAATTTAAATATTTGAGTGAAAATGTTTTTTTTTTTAATCAATTATCAGCAATATTTCCTGATATCATATAATCATCGTAATGATAATGATAGTAATGATTGTAACCATCATTATATAACAATGATATTAATTAAATTTACAATTATAATAGCAATTAGATATATCATATATGGCTTATCAAATATTTCAAATCATTTGATTATTAATTCAGGATCAAACAGAAACAAATCTGTTAACATTTCCATACGATCACTATCATTATCATTATCATGGAATGTGATTTATTAAGCATAAATACAAATTAATAGTAAACAAACAATTATTGTCCTCATGTATTACATTCCAGTATCATTATGATGACAAATCAAAATTAAGGAATGCAATCGATGATGATAATGCAAAGAAAGCAGGAGGTCAAATCAACAAGCAAGAGGTCAAATCATTGCATCATCAATATTTACGAGAATTGCATTCAGTAGTTAATATCATAAATTATCGTTGTCAATTTTGCATCAATGTGTTGTTATAAATCATCATTTTATAGTTTTCTTTTTCTTTTTCGTTTTGACTAATTTTACTTTTTCATTCCCTGTTATTACACGATAAAAATGTATGAAATTATTGATATGATAGTAACATTAGTTAACATTCATTTTATAAGGGAAAAATATTTGTCTTAATTAAAGTATTTTTAATTGGAATATTTGTTACTCTATATGCAACAATTCATACTTTATCTTATCACCCCTCGCTATTACATGATAAAAATGTAAGAAATTATTCGTGTACTAGTTAGTAGTAGTAAAAGTAGTAGTAGTAGTAGTAAAAGTACTAATGGTAGTAGTAGTAGTAAAAGTAATAGTAATAGTAGTACTAGTAGTAGTACTAGTAGTAGTAGTAGTAGTAGTAGTAGTAGTAATAGTAGTAGTAGTAGTAGTAGTAGTACTAGCAATAGTAATAGCTATTTATTCATTAATCATTTCATTTTATGAGGCGAAAATGTTTGCCTTAATTAAAACATTTTATTTAGAAATATTTGTTAGCAATGGGAAATTTTGGAAAATATTACATTATAATCAAAAATATATTTTAAAAAATAAAATAAAATAAGGAAAAAAATCTTTGGAAGGTATTTTTCGTTGCTCTTTTTTTTTTTTTGTCCAATTTTTTGCTTATTTGGTAAATTCCACGAGAATTTCAGTTTTGAAAATTGTTTGACTTATTTTATTAAATTACTTTTCTTCCTTAAAAGTTATCTTAACGTTTACATTCATTTATCATTTCGAAATATTTCTTCTTTCTTTTGAAAATTTTGTTTGAAAAATTTACTAAAATTTAATTAAAGAATAGGATTTGAAATAAAATAATCATTTAATTTTATTGGGAAATTTCTTTTTCCTTTTTTTTTTGTATGATTTTAAAATTGCATTCATTTCAAAATTTTAATTACAAAATAATCAATAACAAATTTTGTGTATTGCAGAAAAAAAAAATGTAAAATGAATAAAATTTTCCAAATTGATTTAAAAATGATACAATTTTTTACAATCATCTTACTATGATAGATGAATGATAACCAATAACACAACGACAAACAAGGACGATGACAACAAGGACACCAAGCACTACCACAATAACATTACCATCAACAACAAAACAACAACAACAACGAAGATGACAATAAAAGGATGAGTTAGATTGATAACAGTGACATCTGGTACGGATTAAATCGGATCGAATAAATGAATGAATGAATAAATAAATGGATGGATGGATGGATAATGCGGTGTGTTAAGAAACGATTTTTGCGCATCATCAGCATCATCATCATCATTATCATTATTATTATTATCATTATCATTATCACCATCATCATCGTCATTATAGGCCTTATATCATCAGCGCCGATATATGATGTTGGTATTGATAAATTAGCAAATGGCTAAAATAAAATTAAATATATTCCAAAATGAATTGTAACAACAATAAAAATAAAAAATTCTTTTCGGTAAATCCTTCTTTCTTTTTTTTTTTCTCCCCCTCTCTCTCTTTTCGTTTTCTCTCTTGTTCTTCAATAGTTTCATTGAATTAAATTTAGTTTAATGATGAAATTTATTAGTTTTAGTGGTTGAAAACATGTGGTAAACATATTAGAATACAACCATACATTGATATTTTATAAATTGATGTAATGAAAAAAGATAAAGACGAAAGAAATTTTGAGGGAAAAGCATAATTTGATAATAATTATCATTAATTTGATAATTAATAAAATTGTAGCATTTTATTTAGGTATTAATATTTTAAAAGAGGTGGGAAAAAAAAGAAAAATTTTAATAAAATAGAAAAAATTTTTTAGCTAAAAATATTAA